TAATAATCAATTTTCCTACAGTGAGTCGAAAGCAATTTCAATAGCCTTTACCATATATGCTTTGGAAATGTGTGAAAATTACAACGACATATTACATAAATACGAATAAGATTTCTATGGGACATACAATAAGGTATGTCATAAGTGTAACTTGGATCATGTTACTAATTGAATTTGGTGTGAAGAGAGAGAGAGAGAAACAGGGGATACAACCTGCAAAGTATTACCCAGATGACATGATGAATTCTGATTGTCTATCTCGTTTTACAGACGACCTGGCTGCCGTGCCTTGCAGCAGTGCTGCTGTGCTGGCTGACAGAGGAGTCCTAAAGCTAGCCGTGCTCTAGCTCTGCCAGAGTTACGGCTGCAAGACTAGGCTAGACTCGTGTCTGCCAGCTAGCTAGCTCATAATTTCTTATCTTAGCTAAGCAGTATTGTATTTTTCATGGGGTATGGTTTGTTTCAGAGGCAATCCAACTACTATGACATGTTTTATTAAACGTGAAAGCAGAATATTTTGAGAGAGAGAGAGAGAGAGAGAGGGAGGGGGGGGGGGGGTAGGTGAAAGTTTGAAAGGAATAAGACAGACGATATGAAAGTTCATAATGTTTGAAAGCTGAGATTGCTAAATATATGTGAACTTCTAACTAGGAATCAGCCTTTTGATAATGACATGATTTTGGGCAACTCTCCAGCTTGTTTTATAATCAAAATATCAGAAATTTCTATTGATCTTCTAATTTCAATGTGATTTCATAATCTACTTAAGGTCTAGATATTCAACACGGTATTTATGAATAAACATTTAGTTTGTCTGTCCTCCCATTAAAGAATCCTACTCCAATAGCAATGAAATCAAGACAAATTATATATATACTTAATAAAATCAGTTACTTGTACAGGAGCAAATGGGAGAGTTTTCTGATACTACTACTGTACATCACAGTCATGTACAGTACATGTAATACCTACCAGTCAATTTGAAATTTCCATATGACAGTGAACTTGAATTTTCAAGTATTTAGTTAACTTTATTATAGTTTCTTTTTATCTGATTTCGTTCAATTTTTTTCTGTACTCTGCTTCTCACAGATTCCTTTGGAACAACTTAATACAATACAGACCTACCGGTATAGATGTACATCTGGGATTGCAATTGGAATATCAACAGACTCGCTAAATTATTTTCACATCACATCTTGCTATTGGACATATAGATAACAGGCTCACATACAGTTAACTGATTTTTTTTTTCAAGTTTAATAAAGTTTTTTTTGGTTTAAGTCTACATGATCAACTCAGATATGCATTCATTTATCCAAATAAATGAAGTACATGTAATATGCTGACTTATGAAAATAATATTCACCAGTTTAATCTCTATTTACCAATAGTAATCTGACATTGAACAATAAATAAAGTAAAATAAATAAATCATGTCACTCTACATGTACTGATACAATTATGCGAAAGAAACCTACAGTAAATGAATTTGAGACTTCATGCTAGGATAATTTCATTTCTGAGAAAATCAAGACAATTCTGAACCAGTCTTCGATATTATTGGCAAAACTGTCCAAGGTCCGATCTCGTTACCGACTTCAAGCAGCTGTTTCCTCATCTTGTTAAGAGTTTGAGAATTCTATAAATCATCCATTTTTGACAAGTAGCCTGGAGAATTGGATGCAGACATGAGGCACCCTGGCTGTATGATCATGGACCTCCATGGCCCAGTATGATTCATGGCAAGGATAAGGTCGAGTTTACTTGATACAGTTATCAAACAAGCGCTGCCACGTTTCTGTGCTATAGCCTAGGAAAGGATAAAGGCTTGGTCTAATATTTTCAAAGTTTTTCTATTTTTTCTCCATTCCAGTTTTTAAAAAACATGTGAAAACAAAATATACAATTTATACATCATAGAATAAAAAGGGATACATGTATAATGTGGAGCACCAGTAGTGTCAAGTCTGACAGAGACATGAGCACTATACAAACCTAGATTATCATAAAAAGAAAAACAAGTAAGTGAGAAATGGGGTAATAATGAGTAAGATTTTGATACTTCCCCTTTGTAAAACAATGTCTGTTGACTGACCTAAAACCTTTAAAATGGAAAATAATTTTATGGTAACTGCTTGTTGTTTTGTTTGGGTCTATTTTTTTTTTTTGGGGGGGGGGGGGTGATAATAATCACATTTACTGTATCCATTGTAAATCGTTTTGTTCATTTCAAACATTCCACTTTGGAAAAAGTTCAGGCTATACTAGCTATTCTACATTTTTCATAAGATGCAAATGTTTGTTTTAGTATTAATTACATGACAACGATGCCATAACTTGTTGCATTTATTGATTGACAGAAAAATTATTTCACTACTACTACTAGGTTGGGAATTTTCATACCAGTGTGCTTATAAAATAGTATCATGATTTCCCAAAACAAACATCTCCAATTTTCTTCTATTTTTTTAAATCAATTTTTTTTGTTTATAAAGATGTTTCTTCCCAAGTTCACAAGCCCCCTCATAAAAACATTACCTAATTGATTTGACAAGAATTAAGATACAAATACACTGTACATGTCACAGACACTCTACATAATAACTTCTCTGCTTTCACTTATTTGCGGAATAAGCATACATGTACTGTCTCTCATGCACTGTAAGTAATTAACCAAAATGTGATTTTAGTTTACGTAGACTGCCAATATTTAAGCATAAATGCACTACCATAAACAATCACCACAGCCTCCTTTACATGAGCAAGCCAACGACGATAAGCATAACACCGTAAAAACAATTGGTGTAACCTAGTTGACATCATTCTGTAGCTCGAGCAGCTCTACGGATCTGTGCTACGATGACAGACCTTAACTCCCTGGTAGTAGCTGGGGACGGACCCACTGGCACCACAGCTAATACCTCCTAATCTAATTTCCCTAATTCTTGTTTTAGCAGATTTTAATAGCTCATCAAGAAGCCCTAGACCTTCCCCGCTTACGCTGTGATTGCTGCGTTGCTAGATGTTGACATGATGACAACTTCTTTCCCATGTACTTTCATTTTCAAATGTTGGATTTGAAGAAAATTATTTGGATCATGTAGTAGATTACAAGCCTTGCATGTGATGATCAATTAGAAATAATATTTTCAAAAAGAAGATGTATTTAATAATAATAATAATAATATTCTGCTTTTATATAGCACTCTATACAGTATACAATTTAATGTCTGTTTGGACCCAGAAGGGTGTTAAATCTTCTTCTTTTTTTTTCCTTTTTTTTCTTGAATGCCTCCGCATGGCAAAGAACTGCGCTTAATTAATCACACAGGGCAAAACGTTAGTTGTTAGGTGAGAAGTAAGAAGTTAAATAATATAATTTTACACAGCATCAATTAAGGCCCCTCTGGTTTAAAAAAAGACAATATGTACAATAAATAAAATACTCATTGTAAGTCTGAAATCTTTACACCATGATTAAAAGAAATCCTCAGTTACACTTGAAATGTTTATATATATTGATTACGGTATGACTTACCGGTAATGGGTTTCTGTCATTGTTGTGACTGTAAGCCCTGCATTAGGTATCTCTAATTCACTTTACTGTAAGCATGGTACATAATACATACTTTGAAAACTTTACTTTATAAGGGCTACCAGTTGGTTCTACCCAATGCGCCTGAAAAAAATAACCAACAAAATAGCAGATTCCCCAAACGCAGGTGAGAAAAGGGCCTGAGAAATATTGGGCCTGAATAAAGGGCACAAGCCTGAAAGTTCATACCGGTACCTCTTTTAAATTTATTTTCACAATTACAAAGGGAAAAGAGTAGGTTAAAAGAAAAAAACTTGCAGTAAATAGCAACAAACTGAACTCAGTGCATTTCTGCCCTTATTAAGACATGGGAAAGGACTTTGAAAGGAAATAAAGGCTATTTATCATATTTAGATAATGGTCTGAATTTATATGTTATTTTATTTTTAACTTCATGTTAACAGTCAGAGGTTATTTATTTGATTCTGAAATTGAAACTATTGAAAGCTATTGATGGTACAACCCAATTACTCTGAATTAAAAGAGAAAATATAAATGCATCATATTGCAGTGGCTTTTTGATATAATGCACTTTGATTGAAAAATAAAATTCTTTCAAATCCTGACAACAATTTACATTTTTAACACAGTAATACTTGGAATAGAATCAAAATGTATGAGGTGGAAACTCTCTGTCTGCAAACTAACAAGTAACATGCTCAGATTATTAGGACAAAACAATAAAATAAAGAATAATAGTTGGTTGTTTTCACATAGGTGCATTTAACACAGTTATGTTTCATTGAGTTCAAAATATGTTTAATCTAAAAACAATGCTTAAAAAATTACCAATTATCACTGACCTCCTAACTCAAAAGAAAATAAATTGATTAGTAGGCTGGCAAAAGAACCTCTCATTTGAATCATAGACCTAGATATGTATTGGAAAAGTTTCATTCAAACTTACACAGTAGGCCTACTAAAGAAGTTCAATGTTAATGGCGTTTAGGCAAAAAAATTAAGTTCTATGCCGATATGAGCCCCACATCCAAACCAGTTTGAGTAGTAAACACTACGAAAGGCAAATCAATACAATATAGAATAACAATTGGCTGTTTTCACATAAGTGCATTTAACACAGTTATGTTTCAATGATTTCAAACTATGTCAAAACAATGTTTAAAAAGTTACAAATTATCACTGACCTCCCAACTCAAAAGAAAATTAAATAATTAGTATGCTGGCAAAAGAACCTATTATTTTAATCATTGACCTACATTATGTTTACAAGAAAAGTTCCATTCAAACTTACACGGCACCAAAAAATTTCAATGTTAATGGCGTTTGGGCAAAATTAAGTTCCAAGTCGACTTAAGCCTCACATACCAAACCAGTGCGAGTAGTAAACACCACGAAGAAACTCAGTTATTTAAAAATAATGATTTAAAAAATTGATTCTTACCTTCGATGTTATATCTAGTCCAGTCACAAACTTGGCACTGTTCTTGTTCTCATAGCGTTTCACATGCTTCTGTTTCTTCTGTTGTGATATATATATATGGAGAGAGAGAGAATAAGTGAAGGATAGAAAACAGGTTGACACCACTACTAGTCACTGACTGACTGACTGACTATCTATGAGCGGGAGGCTTAATCCTGAGAGCCTGTCTTTGAGAGGCGTCACGTTGCCCCCTTCCCCTTGTTGACGTTATCCCCTTCCCGCATGGAGAGTCTTTTGGCTATCACCCCGTGCGTCTTGACATCCCATAGGCTTGCTTACAAGCTCATGAATATTCATGAGGCAGGCTTAACATGCTCGTAGATCTTCTATGAGATACTGTTTTGTTTTTATCATAACATTGATATGTCTGCTCTTGATTAATATTGTGCAAATGTTATCGAACAGTTATTTACATCTTTCAAAATGGGTATTCCTGTCTCCATTTTAAAGTCTTGTGTATCTTCTTCTTTTTTCTTTTCTTTGGCCATCACTCCCTGCCTTCACACCCCATAGACTTAATACTGATATCGTATGAATATTCATGGGGAAAATAAACCAAGCTTTAAACACTTATAGTTCTTTGAGATATTGTTTTTGGTTTATCATAACATTGTGTCTGTTCTGCTTATTAAACTATATCAGAGAAAATATTAAATCATTAAAGCCATCTCTATGGATTTCTATCCTCATTTTTCTTCATTAGTATGTTGAACATATTTCTTTTAGTTTAAACTCCCTTCACCTCCACCCCACATTTTAAAAGTTAAAAGTTGAAATAAAAGTCAATATAAAACAGTTGAAGAACAGATTTACCATGAAACATAATAAATGATGAATCGATTTTAAACTGTGCAACATTCTACTATTGTTTTCAGATTTTCATACAAATAATCAATTTACATTTCTATTTCACCTCATTTTATGAGAGAAATAAATTAAAATTGAAAGTAAAATTTTGAAATTACCAAAGTGAAATTAATCAAATTAACAGATTGACGATAATGACTGTATACATATATGTGATTAATTTCAATTTGTAAATATTTTATCCATAAGCTAATTTGCTCAAGGAAAAGGGAACTAGCTTTTCACCCAAATTGAATTAAATCCAAATTAACCCAGACTAAACCAATCCATTATGTGATTACGATGGATACACTTTAAAATCTTTCTACCACTGCTACACATTTCTCTTCACCAAATCAAATAGTAATGTAATTTATTTATTTACAATTTTTTAATCTCAAGTTGTACTGTGAGGGGGGAGGGGGAGTAAGTGGAACACTACACCAGATTAAAAAGTGTCCATTGACAAAGCTGATAATTAAATCATATGAAAACTAACAATCAGCTAATAGAACTAATGGCAATGAATAGTCATGAAGAAAGCACTTTGAACCAATCAGATGCTTAAACTCATTAGTAGTCATACAACAGTACATCAGTTTGAACCAATCAGTTCTCTAAATAATGAATATTCATAGAGCAATAAACCCCTTAGAACTAATTAGTAATTTGTCCTTATGAATAGTCATTATGTACATGTAGTACACCACTTGCATTCTTGCAACCAACCAATCAGCTACCTATGCTCATGAATATTCACAAGATAGTAAAGCCATCATATCCCTCAGTGGGTTGGGGACTGCTAAGCCCTGCGTGTTTCCCTCTCTTCCTCTCTTGAATATTAGATCACTTCCCCCCTCCAGCTGAAAGCCTGTTCCTTGCACTGCTCAACGATGGACAAACGCCTGTCAATAACTCATCAATATTCATGTTTGGGCTGACCTTGACATACCTCATGAATATTCATAATTATTGAGAGAATAAGTCTCCCCATTCTATTAGTCGGATGTCCGGATTATTATGAGTGTGAATCGAGTAAAAACATTGCCATATGGATTGCATAAATGTGTCTGTTTGACATTCTGAAGTGATCATTGTCATTCTCACCTCATTTTTTTTCAACTTTGTCACTGAACTATTGGGAAGTGTGTGATACAGTTTGACTCACAATTAACACTAGAATAATAAATAAATGAATAAATGACTAACTAAATAAATGAATAAATAGATACATGAATAATAAATAAATAAATGAATAAATAAATATTTCAATTTATAAAACAAAATAAATATAATTAATAGGGGCAAAAGGGGGGTGAGGGGGAAGGGAAGAGGAAGAAAGAAAGAAACCACTCTATTTATTTCAGTATGACATTGATCAAAGTGCAATTCCAAATCTAAAACATTAGTCTCAACCTCTTGCATATTCAGCAATTTCAAGCCAACAGAGCTTTATATCATGAATATTCATATTTGCTCCGCCGGGACTGCGCATACGTACTTTCTCTTCGCCATGTTGAATCAACGATACAACATGGATGGCTTGGTTTAGAATGAGGAATCACCCTTTTTCCCATCGAAGACTTCTTCCAATTATAATTTCAAGTGTGGGCCGGGATGCCCAGAGGAGTCGAAAACACTGCAAGTTCAAATTTGTAATTACTATCGTTTCATATTTTGAAAAAAATGTCGCCACAACGTTTGATTCGTGTTTCAGGATTCAGGGGACTGAGATACTTGGTAATGAGGGCTAATGCATTTATTAGCAAAGGGCCCTAGTGCATCCACTTAGTTTTGAACCCTAATCTTTCCAGTTACGAGACCACTGCTCTACCACTACGCCAAGGCACCTCCTCTTACAGTACTTTAGCTGTCTCTGGTTTTGTCAGGAACAACTATAACAAAATTAATATGGATTGCAATTTTCAGTCTTTAAGGCCCTACATAGGTACAAATAGAACAAGAGTCTTTCTCACCTACACAAGTGCAGTTCTGCGAACTTTACTTGGCTCATACATAGTCACGAATATATCAATGAGTCATTTATCCTAGCATGTGTGTGCCAACGTGTTTAGAAGACCTTTGCTCATGCATATTCATGCTTTATGGTAATGAGTGAGTTGTCGTGCCAGCCGTAATAGGACTAGGAAGTGTGATAATGAGGTCCCAGTGGCTGTCACCTCTCATTCAGACAGTATTCACCGCTCCAGGGAAATCAATAAATAGACTCACATGTGAACATGTTAGGCCCGTCCACACGCCCTCTTCACGATTCTGAACGGCTGTTCCGATCGGAATGTGAACGTGCCCCACTATTTTCCAACTCACAGGAGGCTGAGAAAGACTTGTCAGTTTAGGATACAACTGATTTCTGTAGAGAGTTCAAGAAAGTGTTTACCATTAAACGTGAATGTTAAGAGGTTCACATTGGGAAGGGCATTCTGGATGGTAGTATTTCCCTAGATTCTACTAGGGTTCACATAATTTGGGTTATTTCTAGATCAGTTTAAACTTGTCATGTATTTCGTTGTCTTGTTTTGACCACTTAACGTGTCCTGCCGCTGCATTAATGTCCCTTGGCAAGACATTAATATAAATTTGCCTCTTTCCACTCAGGTATTAAAAAAAGTACAGGTAGGAATGAATTCCTTGAAGATGTGAGCAACAGTTTCAGTAGCCTAGCAGAGCCTGGGTAATATTGGAGCGCCTTGAGCACCTTGCATTGTGGATATATATGCGCTATAAAAATATCCAATATTATTAAAATTACTACTCTCTACAGCAATTCCCCTCCTCCCCCCCCCCCCCCCTGTTAATATATTGTCTGTGGAGTGCACAGTGCAGAGTGGGGTGATGGTTTGATGGTTGGAGGCTAGGGGGTGGGGGATTTGATATCCTAAGGGAGAAGTTTGAAACCATTTTTATCATCTCCTTAAACATGGTTGTGATTAATACACTCCCAAGCAAGAGAAGACCACCACAGACTCACAAGGGGACCATGTGACCTATAATCCAACAAATCAGATTAGAGAAGATAGGTGGTAAAGGTTAATTGTCTATTAGTCCCATGTGACTCAATGCATGTACGGTACGGTAAATGAAATAGTTTTAAAGCATGCTGCATTTATTACATACAGTAGAAATGAAATAGTATGAGTAGAGAATCACTAGTAAGCATAGTTTTCATTCAGAAATTCACTCATTTGAAATAATACAAATTTAATGAGTTAATCATTAGGACTTAACCCCCGCCCCCAGAATATCAATCACGGACAATTATCCCCAAACCCTCGGCAATCACCCCGGATAACTAACTTACTCGTTAACGTTCCCCTCTGAAAGCTAGGTAAAGTGTGTTTTAATGTGAGGGTAGTTATCAGGTGGAGTGGGAGGGGGTGGTAATTGTCCTAGCAGAAAATACAACGCCGTAATACAGAGAATCCTTTGAGAATAAAAGGCCAATAGCCTAACCTCTGCAAGGTAACTTATGCAAATTAAGGAGCACTCCTTATACACTACTTGATATTAAGGAGAAAACGTCTATTAAGTATCATTAAAAGCGATAAAATATATCCTCTGAGCTGTTAACCCACCTGTTATTCATGAGATGTGTCTGTAACCTGAGGGTAATTCTTCATTTCTTGAAACTCACACTATTCCTTAGACTAACTAGGATCTTGGTGGGACAGTAAACTAGGGTAAGAGGGTATGGATCGAGAAAGAGGAAAGATGTCATATTAGCCATGTTCACACGGCAGTTTCAAACTTTCAGTTTACAAAACTTCAAAGTTTAAAACATCGATCAATCCACTATTCATGATTAGGGTTCACAAGGGACTGAAAAGAACAAGTGTTTAAAAAGTATTTAACTATAAGCCGGGCAGGCAGTTGATTTAACCACAAGCTGGCATAACCTCCAAGTTAAATGCATCCGCACACCACATAACTTCAAGTGAGGATCCATTGCTGCTTGCAGTTGTTGCACTAGCTTTAAAATTGTTTGTGGTTTATAACTTTGAGTACCAGAAACTTACAGTTTCTGTAATGTCCCAAACTACAAGATAACTTCAGAATTTAAATTTGAATTTTCAGATAGTCGTTTAACTTTTAAGTAAACTACGATTTCTATACTGTCCCAACCTACAAGATTACTTTGGAGTTTAAAACCACAACCTTAAAGTAAAAGTTAATGG